AAGATTACAAGTATCAATCAACAATATATGCTCCATTACTGTCTCTGACTTGCCACCAACGCTCTGGTAGAGAAAGGATTCCGTGTTCGTAGAAGTCTTGAGACTTTTGGTCGAAGAAGTTGAGGAGATCCGTTTTGAGGTCGTTCTCGTCTTCGAACTGTTTCTCTCGTAAATGACTGGAGAGAGAGCGGTACAGGTGGTAGTCTGTAGGAGCCAAGTCTGGGGAATAAGGTGGATGGGGAACAGTGATCCAGCCAAGGTCNATTTTTTAAATAAAAATAAATTTAAAAAATAGACGGAGATAAAAAAAATAAATAAAATTTCTCTGAAATCGCGATAATACCAGATCAGATGGGCGATAAAGCTATAGTGAATATGTAAAAAATCGGGAAACAACTCGCGATTTATCGTAATAATCACTAAAAATATCATTAAAAATCGGCGATTAATCGTGTTTCAGCTCACGATTATCGTTTCGATATATCACGATTAATCGCCAATTTTTCAGCGATTTTCAGGACACGGGGATGTTCATAGAAAGATCAAACGTAATATTCTTTCTGATAAAAGCTAGGAAATATTTATAATAGTGCCGTGAAGATGCAGAATAGGGGGTGTTAATTAATATTAAATTACCATTAATTTTAATTTAACATAAATTTAAATTATCACAAATCAAACTTATAATAAATCTAAATTTTAACCCATTAGAAATTAAATTAAATTAAATTATTCTATTTCTTTAGAATTCCTTATGTGAGAAATACAACCTTCTTTAAATATTACATTTATCTATAAATCATATATTATTTTTATAATTTATTTGTCGATTCAAAAAAATCTCATAAAAGATATTGCATTTTCTAAGAATGAAATGAGGACGTTGGTGTCTTTCTAATATCTGAGGAAGTGAGATCTCAACATACTTATATAAAGTGTTCTTAGAAGAAAAAATGATTTAATTAATTTTTAATTTAATAAATAAAAAAGTGTCAACAATTCAAATTTAACAGAAAAATGATACCCCTAGCGCAGGAGAAACATACTTTCTAAAATCTTTAAATTCCTGTTTTCTCCTGTCAAAGTTGCAATTTCTTCAGATCTTCATGCCAATCATACACTCCAACCAACAAATAGTAGATCAGGCCTCTCTTGCGCCCACAAGACTATATCTTATCGAGACACTTCCGTTAACTGGAACTGTATTTGGAAGAATACAGTTCTATGAACATATGACACACTGAAGCCACGGTTTCTTGTGGCATCAAGGAACAAAAATCTTAGGTCTTAGCATAACTTTAGAACTTACTTTAAAAGACGCTAAGATAAATAATGATTGCCATTAGTTTTGTACACCTCGGGTCGATTATCCTAAATAGTACAGCCTCTGAAGATTTAAAATATGTGTTTTTTTCCTCTTACTGACGCTTCAAATATTTATTTATATCAATCTAAATATCGCAATTCGATCCAATTAGATCATCACAATTTATCGAAAAGTCGTAAAGGTTTTTATTGTAAGAATCATGATTTGTTGTGACGGAAGAGAGCCCAACCGCAAATTTCATGAGAAAGCTTTGTGGTAAAAAAACGCTATTTCATTGAACTATAAAAGCGCCATCTAACAAAAGCGCAGTGCAGGATTATGAAAAAGTATGATGGAGAAAAACCTAGATTCGAATTGGAATTACTGTGGTTTGGCTAATTGTGACGCTCAACAGCATTCAGAGGTTGCGGTTTATGTGAACGATTGCGTGGTATACAAAACCGAGAAAAGTCACAATTTTAAATCCTGCGACTCATTCCTACCACACCGAACATTTTTGGAGCCGTGGTTTTTGGCGGTGAAAGTACTACGATCTTGTTTGCGCACATCGCGGTAAGTTATATCTGCAGTGCGTCGAATCACGGTTAACTGCGGTCTTTTTTTATAACATCACGGTTCATGAAGAAGAAAACGCAGTTTTGACCCAAATTTTTTCCGTGGATGAGTCTCGCATGACAGACTATGTCATCTTCATATATTATACGAGAAAAACGGTCTAAAGAATAATAATTTTGACCGCATGTTAATGATAAGATTTTTGTTTGCGTTACTTTTTTTTTACCTTTTATACAAAGAAGATTTTCATCGTTGAAGGTTGGTCGTGAACAAATCAAATAATGCACGATTCTTCTCTTTGAAAGAAAATTGATCTGCATATTTTTAGATAGATTTAAATCAACATTCTAAATAGTCTCTTCAAAGACATTGACAGTTTCTCTAGATAGTTAGCTAAAAAATGATATTTCTTATACAAAATGTGAAACGAAAACTATTTAGTATGTCTATTAGTTCTAAATAAGGCTTTCGTTTGCTGCTTATCAAACAGTTTGTATTTGTCACGTACATTTTTTTAAAAATAAACATCTTATTATAAGCTGTATATACATTGTAGAGGTGAAATAGACTTAATATTGTGTTAGTAAATATGATACACTTGTTTTGTCATCATCGATAAGTGTATAGTATGTACGTATATCCTTTGTTTCTTTTACTTCTTTTTCTTTAATTTCATTCTAAAGAGAAAAGTCCTTGAACTTTTCGATGAGTGAATTTCTAAAAATGTCATATAGACTAAACAACGAAAGAAAAACGAACAAAATATGTGTTATTCTCGCTTATGCTTATTCTCGTTTGTCACACGACGAACTTTAAATGTGGTTCTCCCACACGCGTCCAAAGTGAGATGCGAAGGACAATGAATCAGAAAAGAAAAAAAAGAAGTAAGGATTAGGAAAGGCAAATTACATAGTGACTATGCAGTAAAACAATGCACAAAATAAAACATATCATTCATTGACTATTTATTTCTTGAATGATGAAGACAATTGTAACAAAACAAAATTCATCCTATAAATGGACATCTAGAATTATTGGCTTTGTTTGGGCATTTCTTACAGCTTGTTTTGCTATTCTTAATATATTTATATTTATACAACCACAATGGATTGGTGATACTTTATCAAGTCCTCGTGCAGGTCATTTTGGTTTATACTCATATTGTGTAAGTACAATATCTGATTATGAATTTGATTGTCAAGGAACATGGACAAATTTTGGAACAATACTTAATGCACCTTTTGCGGTTGCTACATTTTTTGTTGGATTTTCTGTTCTACTCATTCTCATATGTCTTGCATTATTCATAGTTTTCTTATTTTTACGTGCTAGACTTGTCTATTTTATTTGTGCAATAATACAAATGATTTGTGCAATTTGTTTATTTATTGGTCTTATTGTCTATCCAGCAGGTTTTGATAATGATACAATTCGATTAGTATGTGGGCAAAATGTCAATAATTTTTATATAGATACTTGTCAAATTCGATGGGCATATATATTAGCTATAATTGCATTTTGTAATATATTAATTCTTGCAATTCTTGCATTTCTTCTTGGTATGAAACAACCAAATATTGAAGCAAAACGAAAAGTAATTCATCAAAAAAATGTCGTATCCAAATATGGTGAACTTAATGAAGCACTTGAAGATCGAACATACTCTGAACAAACAATACAACGACGTTGACTCTATTTTATTTAGAAACTTTCATTTTTCAGATGAATACACTTGTAATTTTTTGTTTTTGAATTATTAAACATTCCTAAAATGAAAACCTGATCATCTCAGAACGTCTTCGATACAAAGATAATAATACGACTACATATTAACAAAAATAATTATTCATTTGTTTTTCAATATAAAACTGACTTTTACACGATTCATAAATCTGAACTAATCTGTTTTTAATACTAAAACATTAGTCATTGTTCATGATAATGTGTAGCGAGAAAAATATTAATGGGAACAACATTACACAAAGAATAAAAGTGTCAAACTAACCTATTATCATGAATCAGAACTATAGGCTTTGCCTAGGTATCCACTGAACCCGAATGTTCTGATTCAGGTTCGGTCTACATTAGAGATTATTTTTAATCATATAAATAAAAGGAATTAGGAATAAGCTAAAAAAAAGGATTTCAGGCTTGTCTAGAGTAGATCTACACATGGTGGAATAAATGATCCAAAAAGCGAAGGTCTGCAGGCATCCTAAAAAAAAGTTAATAATATTTAGAAATATTCGAACTTAATCGAACCTTACAGTGCTTGCACGACTACCCATATATCTCAAGAAACGTTAGAGCAATTACCCAAATACCTGGCATTGTCTGAGCAGACTGAATCATTTCCGAACTCGAACATGAAGCCAAAATTCGGGTTCAGTGCATGCCTAGCTTGAGAGCACTTTGATTAAGTCATTTGATTCCAGCAACAAACTCTCGGACTGAACGTCAATTTGATGTCATAGAAGTTAAATTGAGAACTTTTTTTTAGATTCAAAACAATTGAATAACATGTTTCATTTGTGATGTTGCGACAATAGACTGTCAAATGTAAATCTTCTCGCTTATTGTTATAAGTATCACTTATTTCCCGGCATTTTATTAACCTCTTTGTTGTATGCCTAACTATATGGTGTTTTTGTTATCATGATAACATTTTTTTTCGATTATGCGAAATAGAACTGATATGATCAAAAACATTGCATTACTTCAAGCATTTCTTGTATGAAAAATTTTAATAATGATTGTCTCTTCGTTGTAATTTGCTATTTCGTGAAAGAACTTCTTATTATCTTATCTTTATGGAAATAAATTAAGTGAACACTTGAAACTAGAATGATACATTAATGCCAAACTTATAGAATTAAACGTATTCGAAAACTCGAAACTATTAATTGAACTGTTAACAGTTCTCTCATGAATCTACCTAGCAACATCTAACTGTAAAATTTCTAAAGAATATTGAATTCCAATACTTTTATTGGTTTACAAGAATAAATTCTCTCATCGATATAAACTTATTTGTTTCATCAATTAGATAAATTGAGCAAAAATAAAGGTATAATATCTATCACTAATTAATCGAAGAAGATTATATGTTTATATAGATATGTTATCATGGTTGACAAAACGACATAATCGATTGTCTTTTCTTCTTCATCATTTATTTAAAAAAATGCATCTATTCAATAAATTACGAACAAGTTTTCGACGAAAATCAAATGTATGTTCATGTTTTCTTAGCATTTTTCTTTTATTGATATTATTATAATTTAAAATTTTAATTTCAGAAATCTGAATTAACAATATCTCAACAAATTGAAAAATTATTTAATGAATCAAATAGATTATTAGTAGTTAATGATCATCGTTTACAATTACTTCGTCTAGTTTATGAATATCGATTACGAGAATTTAATACATTGAATATTTCATTCAATGATATAAAACGTATTGAATTTGAACAGTCGATGTTGAGAAGTCTTCTTGCAATTACATCAAATTTACCTACATCAAAATCACAATCCACTTTTCAACGATCATCATGTTTTTACAGAACAATGCCAATAGCGACCTCTATTAATATATTAAAAGAAAATAATTGATAGAAATAATAAACAATTTCTTTTGCACAATAAGCATTTTCATAGAAAAACAGTTGTAATATGTTCATGATTAATGTAATAATTTTTTTTTCTCTACCTAATATATTATACTGCCATGTATTGATTGGTTCTTTGAAGTCCATTACAAATTCCTGCCACACGGAAATGACTACAAAGACCAAATTTTGATTGAACGGAAAAATTACAGTATTACTAAAGTTATTGATATTTTTAGAATCTAATAGCTGTTTCAATTGATGTAATTCATTAGTGAACAAATGCTCTGGTTACTCGTTACAGATCATTGTAAATTATCGTACATCGGCTTTTATGCGTCATATTCAAGCATAAACGACCGCATTGTATTATACATATGGTCATATTACTAACTTTATATTTACGAGAAAATACGAGATTGTTAATATTTCATGTTTTACCGTAAGCAGATCGTATTCTTCGCTCAAACTGATCAAGAAAATCTAAACTTAGAGTACATTAATTGGAAATACTGTTTATGTTTCGTTTTTATTTTTGGATTATTAGATCTTTTTTATAATCATGATTCATCTACAGGTGGTTAATAGATATTTACTGATGATTGTAATTGTTCAGTCTGATCATTATAAATTGTGAATAATAAAATGATCCACATAATTTTTGACTTTATTTTAAACGTTAGGTCGGTTTAAATATATATTGAATGACACTTGTCAGATAGTATTCATTAGACATGATTGTTATTAGTTCATTTTTTGAAATAAGTCTATGTATTGAAATAGAAACCAATATGTTTTTTTTTTTTTGTAAGTTTAGAAGATCGATATTGATTAGTTTATATCGCTTAATAATCACATCTTCTTTCTATTTTATCGTATATGATATAAAATATTTATCTTTGTGTTCAAAATTCATTCTTGTTTTCCATTATTGTAAAGATATAGCTTAGCTCATTTGTGATCGTCCAATGAAAAGACAAAAGTTTATTTTGTTCTATTTTTATAGAATTTGTTTTTTTCGTTTTCCATTTTCTTGCTTCGTTAATTATTAAAAGACTTGAAAAAGGATACTAGCAATATAATGTTGAATTTTTCTCATGTATGTCATGATGGATATAATCAACTATATTTTTTTCCCTACTGCTAAAGAGTATTATACCCTTTTATAGACTTTGAATTTCTCTTTAATACCCATATTGTACTACCGATAGTAGACTATCGGTATACTGCAATGAAAAAACAGCTAACTGTTTAAGCATTAAACTAACACCGGTTTTTGTTCGGTTCGAATTACATAGGGAATTATCCAGATTTTGAAGAATTATAGAATCTACGTGTTCTTATAGAATATGATCTGCTCAGTTACTTAAGAATATTAAATATTTATTTAAATATTTTAATCTCTAGTGATTGTCAATAAAAATTCTTTTGTAAATTGAATGTAATAAACACCCAATATATAAAATAAATTTTCGCTAGTATTTATACAATTCTAAAGAGTTATTTTGTATTTTATTTATAGATTGTATATAGGTTTAGAATATAAATAAAGTTATGGCACCATCACAACGTCAACAACGTAAATCAGATTCGAAACAAACCTCATCTAACACTCCAAAGTCAAAGCCAAGTAGTAATTCGAACATATGGATATTGGCTATAGCGTTTGCTGCACTTGTTTTTTATGTATTATATCAATCGATTAATATTTATAGCAAAGAATACCAGTACAATGACTTCGAATAATATATATCCGCATCGTATCTATATGAATTGAACAAAAGCTGTCGTAGATCTTAATTTTGTTATATTGCTTTTGGTGATATAGTTGTCCTTTTGTGTTCGATGTGAAAGAAAAGAAAGCTTTTTCTGTTTCGCTGCTTTACTCATTTATTGATTTTTTTTCTTGCATTACTCTTAAAAGCTTCTATAAATATAATATAATTAAACATTTGATTTGTTTGTTTTCAATAAAGAAAAGATTCCTTATCAATCAAGGGAATTATTATTCAAATAGTTTTGATAGATAAGAATTTTAAGAACTACTGAATGGTTAATGTTGAATATGATATGATTTTATAGTCTTATAATATCTTTATTGAAATACTCCATATGTTAGCTAGATAAGAACATATTTCATTAAAATAGTAAATTCAAAAAAATTCTATTACGATTGTAAAATAAAATTCAAACATTCGTTTGTTTCAGATTGATCAAAATTACAATATGATTACTCTCCAGCAACGAATTGTAGTTATATGAAAAAAAATTGTTTATTTTTCTATGGAGCAAAAATTATATTTATCAATTAGTTAGACAATGAAAATTTAACAAATGATTTATGTTAAACATCAGCCACCTTCTATTCTTTCGATCTTCCATTCAAGCAATGAATAACAATTTTTTAAACGTTTATCAGGTAGTGTTTTGCGAGAACGATTTTTTTCTTGGTCCTTATTTTTATACAACTGTTTTTTTTATCGTTTTCCTAAGACTATCGGAATTTCTATTCCTGTTTCATTTGCAGAAAAGCATTACTATCGTAACCTAGCTTCTTGTTCGATTATGCTGTGTAAAGTGTGAGATGGCTTCAAATTAAAATAAATTTATAATTGAAAGTACTCCAGATTAATTATATATAAGGATAAGACAAAAAGTAAATTCGGAAACGCCAATATTTATTGTTGTTCTTCCAGGACGCTATGATCAAGTCGTGTTAACATATTTAAACTGCTTAATATGTTTATGATTTACAGGATACTAAATGAAGATGTCCATTTATTGCTTTTTATTTTGAAAGTATTTTTTCAGTTTAGAATACTGCAACTCTCGAATCAGATACCCATGCGTTTCTCTAAATTTTACATAGGAGGAAATTAAGGCAGTTGCTAGTGTTTGATATGTCAGATGTATTTTTAACTTGTTGTGTTTATATTTAACAACCCTAGTCGAGAATCCCTAAACGAATCCTTGAGGAGTCCCTGGGGAATTCCGACAGGAATTTATATGTAAATCCCTGGAGATTTGTTAGAGAAATCCTAAGGATTTGTCAGGGATTCACCAAGAATATACAATGAGACTTACGACGACTGTAAACGATCGTATATGACGTTTTTATCATAATGTTCACCCCTAGTGAAATCTCATTATAAAATTTCCTCGAAATCCCTGGGGAATTATGACAGGGACCGAGGGTAAGTGTGGGACTCCTCAGGGATTCTCGACTAGGGAATGGTTTCAGTGCTATTATTTCATTTTTTATAAATCAAAATAAAAAAAGATACATTCACAATTCGAACTATCGATTCGAGTACAAATACAAAAAGTTGCATCTATACGATGCTCTTTTTCAATCATCTTGAAGTGTAAATGATAGTTGTAGAAACTACTTAAATTACTTTTTTTTAATTTATGAGTTTAGTTTCAAAAATCATCTATTTTATTAATTTTTTTGCTGCTCTTTAAGCGATTCTACCATCTATATATATTTTCTTCATTCTCCAGGTTGAATTGCTTACGTAATAGCAACCTTGATTTGAAAACGTGAGCGTTTCTATTTGTCTTCGAAACAGAAGAGAACAAAAAAGAAAAATGCAAGTAGATGTAAACTTCGACGGGTGAAAACTGTACGTTAAATTGTCTATGTATCGTACTCATTCTTTTCATTTCTTGCTTTATTACTTCACTACCACATAGATATTTTATCAGAGATAGTGTGCGTTTTATTCTTTCAATAATAGCAACGTCCAATCACGTATTGAAGAATATTTACAAGAAAAAAACAAACACGCATTTTTTTTTACCCAGTTTATTATTTATTAGATTACATATACTCTTTAATTTGTCTTTGAATAAGTTTTTTGAAATGTTTCCAATTGTATTATGTTTTTATTATTAGAGATAATAATTTCAATCAAAGTTAGTTTTTTTTTATGTTCTAAAAGAAATCCGTTAGAGATGACTTTTTTGTTACTGATGTTTTCACAATATGAAATGGTGACTCATCTCAACAAATAATCAAATACGAAATTCTAGAATTGTTTACTCAATGTTTTGTGTGTAAAGAACGTTGACAAATATTTTACTGAAAAGAAGAAAGAGCAAATACGATTGTTTAATTTTTTTTCAAGATTTCGATTGGTTAGTTTAGCAAGAGATCTTTGATTCCTTTTAAAAGAATTAGTTTGACAATAGTGATCTATTTTCTATCCATCCTTTTCTATGATCAATTTGTTTTCTTCTTTAATTAAGACAATATTCATATAAATACTTTATTTGTTTGTTTTCAGATACAAATCTATATTTTTTTATTGTGTGGATTAATTTTTGCTTTATGCTATTGAAGGACACGGGTATGTTCTTCGAACAAGTAAATTGTTTTATTATTAATTTTTTTATATCTATTTCTTTATACTATTGAAGTTTTATTTTATAGCAGAGTAAAGAAAATACTAATCCATTTAATCAAATGGTAGCAAATCAAAAAGATAAAAAAAGTCAGATATAACATCTTAAAAAAACATTGTTTTTCATTCATCTTCATTGTCTATTAGAAGTCAATGATGACAATAAGTCATCATCTGTTTTTGATACGCCTTGTTCAAGTGTATCATCAATATCACCCGTAAGTTTTCATTCAAATTGAGACAATGACTATATATGATCTGTATACGTAGGATAAACAAGATGTTGTAATAATTCTTGATGATGATAATTCTGAAAATGATATTACAATTGATGAACAGTCAAGTACTGATAAAGACGAAAATGATGATAATCTAATTTTAAAAGATTTAATTGGAAAACTTGAACTTAACAGTGAATTAATTGTTGTAAAACCAAATTTACCTATACGAATATGTACAACGGCTGTAGCTTATTCAAATCTTCAAGATACTCATATAATCATGGTAAATTAAATAACGATTTACTCATAAAAAGTAAAAACGAAAGATCTCTTTTTTTATTGAGGTTCATAATCCACGTATGTCAACTTCTGAATGT